CTTTTACACAGATTTTTTTCTACTATTTAATTTTTATACCATCTAATAAAGAATATTATTAAATTATAAATTATAAATCTACAAATTGATTTAATATTGTTTTTATGAAAATTCTTGTATTACCTTTTTTTTATCACACATGCCTTCTTCTCTTGTTCAGTTTTGAATTTCTAATTGTAGATTTCAATAAATTGTTATTTTTACATGCAGCAAGACTTAACTGATATGCTTTTTTTCAGCTCTGCACGACGATTTTTATGTACGTGATTATCATGATACAAATGAAAATACCTATTTTTTAAGTATGTAATAATTTGCTTATAAAGAAGACGATATCAAAATTAGCGTATCATCAAGTATAATATGTCGAAATAATATATCAAGATTGTTTTTTACATATAATTAAATCAAGATTAACTATCATTCTGTTTTATAAACTATATTATGGCGTAATATTTTATTTTCTTGACAAACCAATCATGTAACTGCTTGTTATTAAATACAAACATCTCATATACAAGATTCTTTGAAAAATTTATAAATGTTTTTGAGTATTAAGTAACATTTATATATAAATATACATAATAAAGNTATATTAACAAAATAAATGTTTATCTTAAAATAAAAAAATTAATGAAAATTTCCATTGATTATAATAAAACAGAGTTTCAAAAAACCATTTTTCTGCGTTAAACTTTTCAATGTAAATAAATTATTTTTAATTAAACTAAAACTTTTAATTTTTTTATATTATTTTAACTTTAAATACACTTTCCAATAATTTTGATTACTGCATAATAAAACAGACAAATTTAAAACGATCTAAATTGTCACATCATAAAAAATATTTAAGTTTTCTTGGGAAAGTAAACAGCAAATGCAAGAGTGGAAAAAGTCAAAGGCAGTGAGTATAAAGCTTGTTCTATGGTAATCACCATAATTACAACAATCTCGCAAGTTCTGAAGCAAACTGACATGTTTGTACAATCTCATTTAGCCAGTGTATACAGCTCATTTATTAAAACGATGGAATAGTGTATAGTTGAATCAATACATTAATGCTATAAATCATTTCATTCTTTTATAAACATATATAAAATGACGAAGTCGATCGATTTCACTAAACAATATTAGCACTAATAATCAGTAAAAGGTTTTAATTATATAGATAGCTAAAACATTCAACTTTTTATTAAAATTTTGTGTGCAAAAGAGACGACAATTAAGCGGCAATGTCTTTCACTGGAAATTGTGTTTTTATAATCAATAATATAAATTTATTTTATAACTGTTAACAGTCAAATATCATGTATTACAGGATCAGTCAATTAAAATAATATTTATAAATGTTAAAAGAGCTTATTTAAAGGCGTATGTATGTATAACTACAAAACAATATTCACAAATTATGTAATAAAATAAATTAACCATTATCAATATATGATCATACTGATTATGTGATATTCACAGTAATATGTATGCGTGTGTATCAGTAATTGAAAGTTACTTCCATATAATTCCACAATATTTTCCAGTTGTGTGTATCCTAAATATTCTACGTCTTAATGATAACCTACTAATTATTAAATATAAAAATAAATAAAAAACATATTTTATGTATTAATATTTTTATGTGTTAAACTGTATTTCTTTATTCTATTTCTTTTAAGCATTTTAAGTTATTAAACGTCAAGCATACATTAATATATGTCAAAAAAGCGTTATTATTACTTAAACAATTAAATATTTGTTGATCTTTTTTCACATACTATATTGCAATATAATGAAACAAATAAGAATTTACATTATACAGAGCAAGCAATTTAACAATCAGTATTGCTTATCAATATTTGCTTCGCACAAAAAAATACGCAAAAAATAAATTAATAGCATTATTTCAATACTTTGCAGCATGTAAAATTTAAAAATAAATTAACTCCATTGATCATAAAAAATAAATCGATGGTTTTAATACTCGCAAGTGCTGCAGAAAACACATTGCAATTATAAAGATCTATTATTGTAACAATTCGTCATAATTGCAATACATCTAACAAATGAGTATAAACAGACAGACAATGTTAGTTTGCAATACTCGATGATCATGGTAACTACAATCCAACAAGCCTTGCGCCCTCTTTTTGTTACGTACTTCATTATGGGATTGAACTCTTATCCCATAAAACAACCAACATCTAAGATTCCATGGATTACGTGCTTAAGTATCTTATATTCTTTGATAATTTGGTCCATCTATGCTTATCTTTATTATTACACAGTGACATTATTTACATGGAAGAAATTATTTCTATCCACGATATATGTGATTGTTGTCATGATTAACAGTAGTACCACAATTGTATCTGTGATTATGGGTTTCTATCATCAAGAGGTACAAGAGATCACATTTTTAGTATACATTTTTATTATTATAGTAATAAAATTACGTATATATATACATGTATGTACACCATATAAACAATAATTACACTTAATATTGACTTGTGCAGTATTTAATATATGTATTCTTTGGAGATATATATAATTCTCTGGAGAATTCTTACAAAGCAGTATTCTTTAAACTTTTTTAAATATTATATGCAAATGTACATAATTATTTTGCACATAATAGAAACATGATATATTTATAAATACATTATAAAATGTCGCCTTAATGTCTCAAATTATTTTAGAAATTTAAGATATGCATAAAAAGACTTGCTGCTGTAAATGATACTTTGGAAGAATTGGGCACTCCAAAGGCGTATCGAAAGATGCACATGTATTCGAAACAAGTAATAATTGGATGGATTGTATACTATGTTATTTTAAACTTTTACGAATTACTAATGTGCCTGTACGAAAATCAAAAGATCACTTGGATATTATTACGAACTTGTATACTAAATCATTGTTCTCATATTAATACATTCGTGGATTTCTTATTTATCTTTTTCTTATGGTTAGTATTTATATGTATTTATATATGGGCTTTATATAACCACATACATAACTAAACTTGTCTATTTGTAATGCACATCTTTTTGTATTCGTACTTGGATTTTTTAGAACTACATAAACTTTGTTTTTTTCTCTCTCTCTCTCTTGCAAAATTTTGTTTCACTAATATAAAAAATATATTTATCATAAAAAATAGCACTTTGTGTCATTTTTAACAAAAACTTAAAAAAATTCTTTTTAGATTGATATATTACTTGATGGCATTCACAATACACATAACATCTTTTTAGATATTATAAAATTAGATTATAAGTATTTAAAAACTTGTCATCTAAATCGAGAGTTATCGAGCATATCGAGAGTTTTATCAAAAATTAATGTTACATTTACTATATGACACAGGTATATCGGTACTGGATTTGACAAAGTCAACGAGCATATGCGATATCTATTGACGAACAAAAAACGTACACCAAATGGGAAAAAACTTGTAATCGCCTTTCATCGATATGTCATCTGTACTGATGATTACAAACGAATATTGTGGACCTTAATGTAAAATAAAATATGCCATATTTTGGTAGATCAATTCATCTCATGTTAATTTTATAATAAAATATAAATTCCACGTTTAAAAATAGTCAACAATAAATAAGAAAAGCTAATGTCTTATAAATTTTTATAACATGTAAAAAAATTTTTATATCTATTTGTATAATATAGTACGTTTCTTGATAGGCATCTTCATTTAGAATTATGTCGCATTACTCGCGAATTGAACTCAATATTTGGAACGCAAATGACTTTTGAAATGGTGTTTTATATTACAAACATAACAATCATATGCTCCTCTTTAAATAAATTGCTAATGGAGTATCGAGAAGAATTATCATTATATCAGTGGTTTCTTATAAGCTGTGGGACTATGATATTTATAGTGAGGCTTTATGTGGTACATTATATTTGCGAATGTGTTAAGGTTAAGGTAAAACCACGTAAATCTCAATAAAATATATATTAAATTAGTATTTCTCAAATATATAAGTATTCCATAATATTAAAATCAAAAATTTTAGGCCAAAAATATTGATAAAATATTTCATCAACTAACAAATATTATTCGCTATGCTGACATTTGGAAAGAGGTAAGCAATATTTGAATAGCAAAAAAATAAATAAAATAAATAAAATGAAATTTGAACAACAATTATTTATCTACAGATTTATCAGTTTATTTTGCAAGCGATAAAACATCCGTTAAAATTTACTGGAATGGGTCTCTTCTATTTTGGCAATGACTTTCTTCGAAAGGTTTTGATCTAATATTGTTTTTATCAATATTCTTGTATTATCATTTTTTTAATCACATGCCTTCTTTTTTTGTTCAATTTCTAATTTCTAATTTATCGTAGAATAATTATAAATAAATTGTTATTTTTACATGCAGCAGGACTTAATTGATATGCTTTCTTCCAGCTCTGCGTAACGGTTTTAATGTACGTAATTATTATGATACAAATGAAAATATCTCCTTTTTAAGTATGTAATAATTTGCTCTTAAAAAAGACAATATATCAAAATTAGCATGTTGTCAAGTATAATATCTCGCAATAATATATCAAGGTTATTTTTTACATATGACAATATCAAGATGAAGTGTTATTCTGTTTTATAAATTATATTATGGCGTAATATTTTATTGTCTTGACACCAATCATGTAACTATTTATTATTAAACACAAACATTGTGTACAAGATTTTTTGGAAAATTTATAATTGTTTCTAAATACTAAGCCACATATATGTAAAAATGTACATAAATATATACATATAATATAAAAGGTGTTATTAAAAGGTTTTAAATAAACCTTTACAGGTTTAAGGTATTATTTTATGTAGGCTTAAAAATATTGAAAATAAAAAGTAAAAATGGTTTAGAATATAATTATAAAATATAATTGCATTAATAAAATAAATATTTATCTTAAAATGACAAAATAAATGAAAGTGTCCATTGATTATAATAGAAGTTTTATATAAAAAACAATTTTTCTGCTTTAAACTCGATTACTGCGTAATAAAACAGACAAACATAAACGATTTAGATTGTTACACTATAAAAATATTTAAGTAAGCTTTTTTGGGAAAGTAAACATCAAATCCAAGAATAGAAAAGATCAGGAGCGATTGGTGAAAAGCTTGTTTTATGGTAATCATTATGGTCAAACCATGGTTACATCATTCTCGCTTTCTGAAGCAAACTGACATTGCATGATTGTATGAACTCATTTAGCCAGTGTACACAGATCATTTATTAAAACGATGGAATAGTGTATAGCTGAATCAATACATTAACACTACAAACCATTCTATTCTTTCATAAATATACACAAAATGACGAAGTCGATCGATTTCGCTAAACAATATAAACGCTAATAATTAGTAAACGTTTTTAATCGTACAGATAGCTAAAATATTTAATGTTTTATTAAAATTGTATGTAGAGATGAAAATTAAGCGGCGACATTTCTTTCACTGGGCATTGTGTTTTTATAATCAATAATACAAATTTATTTATAACTATTAACAGTCAAATTTCATGTATTACAGGATCAATTAATTAAAATAATATTTATAAATGTAAAAAGAACTTATTTAAAGGCGTATGTATGTATAATTACAAAACAATATTCACAAATTATGTAATAAAATAAATTAACCATTACCAATATATGATCATACTGATTATGTAATATTCACATAATATGTATGAGTGTGTATCAGTAATTGAAAGTATTACTGTCATATAATATAATTCCACAATATTTTCCAATTGTGTGTATCCCTAAATATTCTACGTCTTAATGAGATAACCTAATATTTATTAAATATAAAAATAAATAAAAAGCAAATTTTGTGTGATAATATTTTTATGTGTTAAAATGTATTCCCTTATTCTTTTATTTTTAATCATTTTAAGTTATTAAATAAACATACATCAAAATATGTCAAGAAAGCGTTATTATAACTTAAACAATTAGATATCTGTTAATCCTTTTTCACATACTACATTGTTATATAATAAAACAAATGAAAATTTACATTATACTGAGCAATTTTAACAATCAGTATTGGTTATTAGTATTTGCTTCGTTCGAAAAAATACGCAAAAAATAAATTAATAGTATTATTTCAATATTTTGCAGCATGTAAAATTTAAAGATAAATTAAGTCCTTTGCTCATAAAAATAAATCGATGGTTTTAATACACATAAGTGCTGTAGAAAACACATTGCAATTACAAAGATCTATTATTATAACAATTCATCATAATTGCGACACGTCTAACAAATGAGTATAAACAGGCAGTCAATGTTAGTTTGCAATATTCGATGATCATGGTAACTACAATCCAACAAGCCTTGCGTCCTTTTTTTGTTACGAATTTTGTTGTGGGATTAAGCTTCTATCCTATAAAACAACAAACATCTTGGATTCTATGGATTACGTGCTTAAGTATCTTATATTCTCTGATAATTTGGTCCACCTACGCTTATCTCTATTACTACACAGTGACTTTATTTTCATGCAAAATAATATATCCATCCACGATACATATGATCTCTGTCATGATTAACAGTTTTACCACGATTATATCCGTGATTATGAGTTTCTATCATCAAAAGGTACAAGGGATTACATTTTTAGTATACAAATGTACATAATTATGTTTTGCGCATGATAGAAACATGATATATTTATAAAAACATTTTAAAATGTTGCCTTAATGTCTTAAATTATTTTAGAAACTTAAGATGTGCATAAAAAGGCTTGCTGCTGTTAATGATACTTTGGAACAATTGGGCACTCCAAAGGCGTATCGAAAGATATACATGTGTTCGAAACAAGTACTAATTGGATGGGTTGTTTATAGTATTATTATAAACTTTTACGATTCACTAGAGTGTCTGAAAACAGAACAGGAGATTATCTGGGCATTATTTCAACCTTATATACTAAATCATTATCTTCATATTAATACATTCGTGGATTTATTATTTATCTTATATATCTATACATTATATAAACAATAATTACACTTGATATTGATTTGTGAAGTCTTTAATATATGTATTCTCTGAAGATATATAATTATCTGTAGAATTTTTACAAAGCAGTACTTTTTAAGCTGTTTATAATATTGTATACAAATGTACATAATTATGTTTTGCGCATGATAGAAACATGATATATTTATAAAAACATTTTAAAATGTTGCTTTAATGTCTTAAATAATTTTAGAAACTTAAGATGTGCATAAAAAGGCTTGCTGCTGTTAATGATACTTTGGAACAATTGGGCACTCCAAAGGCGTATCGAAAGATATACATGTGTTCGAAACAAGTACTAATTGGATGGGTTGTTTATAGTATTATTATAAACTTTTACGATTCACTAGAGTGTCTGAAAACAGAACAGGAGATTATCTGGGCATTATTTCAACCTTATATACTAAATCATTATCTTCATATTAATACATTCGTGGATTTATTATTTATCTTTTTCTTATGGTTGGTATTTATATGTATATATTCATATATGTTCATATAATCATATACAGAGTGAGTCAACAGGAAAGAGATATATTTTGGGAGACGAGTATGGGCCATTGTAAAAAAAAAGTTTATATGAACATGATTATTATTTTCAATAGTTTCGGAGATACAACTGTTTGAATTTTGTGGAAGTAGAATAATAATGAATGATTCATATGTATTACATTCACAAGAAATGCTCATTAATTGAACCGTGAACGTCAATACACTTTACAACTCGTGTCCTAAGATTGCGTGTCGTTTCTCTGAGTGCAGTGTGCCGTTCTTTTATACGAGTAACAGCATCCAAAATGCCATTTATATAAGCCATGTTCTTATAAACTTTTTTTACAATGACCCATACTATTGTCTCCCAAAATATTTGCCCCTCCTCCTGACTCATCCTGTATATAACCAACATATCTATTTGTAATGTATATCTATTTGTATTTGTACTTGGACTTTTTAAATCTACATAATCTCTGTCTTTTTTTTCTCTTTCTCTCTCTCTCTCTCTCTCTCTCTCTCTCTCTTGCAGAATTTTGTTTCACTAATATAAAAAGTGTACTTATCATTAAAAAATAGCACTTTGCATTTTTAATTTTTTACAAAACTTACAAAAATTATTTTTAAATTGATATATTATTTTGCGGCATTCACAATACGTATATAATTTTTTTAATATTATACAATTAGATTATAATTATTAAAAAATTTGTCATCTAAATGCATCGAGAGTTCTATCAAAAATTAATGAGACAATTACTATACAACGCAGGTATCTTGGTACTAGATTTGACAAAGTAAATGAGCATATGCAATATCTATTGATGAACAAGAAGCATATACCAAATGGCAATAAACCTGTAGTCGCCCTTCATCGACATGTTATCTGTACTGATGATTACAAACGAATATTGTGGACTTTAATGTAAAATAAAACATGCCATATTTTGGTAGATGATCCATCTCGTGTTAATCCTATAAAAAAATATAAATTCCACGTTTAAAAATAATCAAACAATAAATAAAAAAAGCTAATTTTTTATAAGTTTTTATAACATGTGACAAAATTCTTATATTTATTTGTATAATAAAGTACGTTTTTTGACAGGCATCTTCATTTAGAATTATGTCGCATTACTCGCGAATTGAACTTAATATTCGGAACGCAAATGACTTTTGAAATGGCGTCTTATATTACAAACATAACAATCATGTGTTTTATTTTAAATATATTGCTAATGGAAAATCAAGGGACAATATCATTATGTCAATGGTTTGGTATAAGCTGCTGGACCTTGATATTTATAGTGAGGCTTTACGTGATACATTATATTTGCGAATGTGTTAAGATTAAGGTAAAACCATGCAAGTCTCAATAAAATTTATAATAAATTAGTATTTGTCGAATGTATATTCCATAATACTAAATTCAAAATTTTAGGTTAAAAAAATTGATAAAATATTTCATCAACTAACAAATATTATTCGATATGCTGACATTTGGAAAGAGGTAAGCAATATTTTAATAACTAAAAAATAAATAAAATAAATGAGATAAAATTTAAACAATAGTTATTTATCTACAGATTTCTCAGTTTACTTTGCAAACGATACAACATCCGTTAAAATTTAATGGAATGGGTCTCTTCTATTTTGGCAATGACTTCCTTCGAAAGGTTCACTTTTACCCAAATTTTTTTCTACTACTTAATTTTTATATCATGTATTAAATCATATTATTAAATTGTAAATTATAATTCTGCAAATTGATTTAATGTTGTCTTTATCAAAATTCTTATATTGCTGTTTTTTCATCATACATGCCTTCTTCTCTTGTTCAATTTCTAGTTCCTAATCGTACATTTCAATAAATTGTTAGTTTTACATGCAGCAAGACTTAACTGATATGCTTTCTTTCAGCTCTGCACAATGGTTTTAATGTACGTGATTATTATGATACAAATGAAAATACCTCTTTCTTAAGTATGTAATAATTTACTTTTAAAGAAAACAATATCAAAATTAGTATGTCGTCAAGTATAATATTTCGTAATAATATATCAAGGTTATTTTTCACATGTAATTATATCAAGATTAATTGTTATTTAATTTTATAAACTATATTATAACATAATATATTATTTTCTTGACAAACCAATCATGTAACTATTTATTATCAAACACAAACATCGTGTACAAGATTCTTTGGAAAATTTATAAATGTTTTTAAGTATTAAGTCACATATATATAAAAATGTATATAAATATATATATATATTGCATATATATTTTTTATACAGACTTAAAAATATTAAAAATAAGAATTGAAAATGTTTTAGAATATAACTGTTACATATAATTACATTAATAAAATAAATATTTGTCCTAAAATGGCAAAATAAATGATAATAATGTGCTTTAAATTAATAATATTTTGCAATAAATAAATTGCAGTAATGTATTATTAATTTATATCGCAATAAATTTATATTATATCATTTGCATTATTATATGACATAAATATTTATCTCGTCCCACAAATATTTTAAGAAAAATCATATATTTTTGATACTCTTCGCTTTCCTCCTCTCCTCCCCTTCTCGCTCTCTTTATTGCAAAAGATTAATTTGTAGTTTACTAACACACTAAATATAGCTGACTTTAAATAATCTACGATTAAGAGAGAGAGAAATATGTTTAAAGAAAATACAATAAAGCTGTACTTCTTACTCAAGTATCTTCTTATGACAGTAACTTCGAAGTAACTTGAAGTTACATCGACAAGTAACTGGAAATTATTGCCATATACAATTCTTTATAATATTTTTCAAAAATTATATGTGTATCTTCAATGATTTCTATATTTTAATAAGAAGTTATGTACTATCTAAATTAAACATGAAAACTAAGCTATATTAAATAAAAAACAAATTCTATATATAATGTTAATCTTTATATGTTTAAATATTTTCTTCCATCTTCTCCCGTTTTTTTATATGTAATCATATTAAATAAATTACACGTCAAATATAGACACGTTAATCTATGAAAGCTGTATCATCTTGATATTTGCCGATCTTATTACACATATGTACAATATCATAATACATAATAAATAGTTGTGGCATAAGAGAACATGGTGAAATCATCAACATTTAATGTGTTCCAGGAAAATACAAGAAAAAATACGCAAAAAATAAATTAATAGCATTATTTCAATAATTTACAGCATGTAAAATTTAAAGATAAATTAACTCTCCTTTGTTCATAAAAATAAATCGATGAATTTCATATCCGCTAGTGCTGTAGAAAACACATTGCAATTATAAAGATCTATTATTGTTACAATTCATCATAATTGCGATATGCCTAATGAATGAATATAAGCAGACACATTCAATGTTAGTCTGCAGTAGTCGATGATCATGGTAACTACTATCCAACAAGCCTTGTGCCCTTTTTTTGTTATGTATTTCATTATGGGATTGAGCTCCTATCCTATAAAACAACCAACATCTAGGATTCCATGGATTACATGCTTAAGTATCTTATATTCTCTGATAATTTGGCTCACCCATGCTTATCTCTATTACTACATAGTGACTTTATTTACATGGAAAAAAATATGTCCATCCACGATACAGATGATCTCTGTCATAACTACCATCCTTAGCACGATTGTATCCGTGATTATGAGTTTCTATCATCAAGAGGTACAAGAGATCATATTTTTAGTATATATTTTTATTATGTAAAGTAATGAAATTACACATATATATTTATATACCATATAAACAATAATTACACTTGATATTAACTTGTAAAATCTTTAATATATGTATTTTCTGGAGATATATTATTCTCTATAGAATTCTTACGAAGCAGTATTTTTTAAGCTTTTTCAAATATTGTATACAAACGTACATATATATGTTTTGCGCATGATAAAAATATGATATATTCATAAATACATTCTAAAATGTCGCCTTAATATCTCAAATTATTTTAGAAACTTAGAATGTGCATAAAAAAACTTGCTGCTGTAAATGATACTTTGGAACAATTGGGCACTCCAAAGGCGTATCGAAAGATGCACATACATTTGAAACAAGTAGTAATTGGATGGATTGTATACTGTGTTATTTCAAACTTTCATGATTTACTAATGTTCCTGAACGCAAAACAAGGGATTACCTGGATATTATTACGATCTTATATACTAAATCATTATGATCATATTAATACATTCGTGGATTTATTATTTATCTTTTTCTTATGGTTGGTATTTATATGTATTCATATATGGGATTCATATAACCATATATATGTAACCAAACACATCTGTTTGTAACATATCTATTTGCACTTGAACTTTTTAGATCTACATAAACTTTGTCTCTTTCTCTCTCTTTTTCTCTTGCAAAATTTTGTTTCACTAATATAGAAAATGTATTTATCATTAAAAAGTAGCACTTTCCGGCATTTTTAACAAAAACTTAAAAAAACTCTTTTTAAATTAATATATTATTTCGCGGGATTCACAATACATATATAATCTTTTTAGATATTATAAAATTAGATTATGATTATTAAAAAATTTGTTATTTAAATGCATATCAAAATTTTTATAAGAAATTAATGAGATATTTACTATATGAAAATGACTTTTGAAATGGCATCTTATATTACAAACATAACATTCATGTGTTTCGGTTTAAATAAATTGCTAATGGAATATCGAGAGAAATTATCATCATATCAGTGGTTTATGATAAGCTGCTGGGTCTTGATATCTATAGTAAAGCTGTATGTGATAAATTATATTTGCGAATGTGTTAGAATTAAGGTAAAACCACGCAAATTTCATTCTTCTTTTATTCAATTTCTAATTTCTAATTTATCGTAGATTTCAATAAATTGTTATTTTTACATGCAGCAAGACTTAACTGATATGGTTTCTTTCAGCTCTGCACGACGGTTTTAATGTACGTGATTATCATGATACAAATGAAAATACCTATTTTATAAGTATGTAATAATTTGCTTATAAAGAAGACGATATCAAAATTAGCGTATCATCAACTATAATATGTCGCAATAATATATCAAGATTATTTTTTACATATAATTAAATCAAGATTAACTATCATTCTGTTTTATAAACTATATTATGGCGTAATATTTTATTATCTTAATAAACCAAGCATTTAACTACTTATTATTAAACACAAACATCGTGTACAAGATTCTTTGGAAAATTTATAAATATTTTTAAGTATTAAGTCACATATATATATAAATGTATATAAATATACATATATTGTATATATATTTTTTTATACGGTCTTAAATATTAAAAATAAAAATTAAAAATGTTTTAAAATATAATCGTAAAATATAATTACATTAATAAAATAAATATTTATCTTAAAATGATAAAATAAATAAAAGTTTCCATTTTTGTGCTTTAGCTTAATAATATTTTGTGAAAAATAAATTGCAGTAATGTATTATTAATTTATATATTTACCCCGTTCCACAAACATTGTAAGAAAAATCATATACGTGTATTTTTGATATTTTTTGTTTTCCTTCTTTTCTCGTTCTCTTTATTGCAAAAAAATTAATTTGTATTTCTTACTTAACTATTGTAAATAAATTGACTTTAAATAATTTACGATTAAGAAAGAAGCTTAAAGAAAGCACAATAAAGCAGTACTTCTTACTCAAGTATCTTCTTATGACAGTAACTTCGAAGTAACTTGAAGTTACATCGACAAGTAACTGGAAATTATTGCCATATACAATTCTTTATAATATTTTTCAAAAATTATATGTGTATCTTCAATGATTTCTATATTTTAATAAGAAGTTATGTACTATCTAAATTAAACATGAAAACTAAGCTATATTAAATAAAAAACAAATTCTATATATAATGTTAATCTTTATATGTTCAAATATTTTCTTCCATCTTCTCCCGTTTCTTTATATGTAATCATATTAAATAAATTACACGTCAAATATAGTTAATCTATGAAAGCTGTATCACCTTGATATTTGCCGATCTTATTACACATATGTACAATATCATAATACATAATAAATAGTTGTGGCATAAGAAAACATGGTGAAATCATCAAAATTTAATGTGCTGCAGGAAAATACAAGAAAAAATACGCAAAAAATAAATTAATAGCATTATTTCAATATTTTGCAGCATGTAAAATTTAAAGATAAATTAACTCTCCTTTGTTCATAAAAATAAATCGATGATTTTAATATGCGCAAGTGCTGTAGAAAACACATTGCAATTATAAACATCTATTATTCTTACAATGCATCATAATTGCGATATGCTTAACGAATGAATATAAGCAGACACATTCAATATTAGTCTGCAGTAGTCGATGATCATGGTAACTACTATCCAACAAGCCTTGTGCCCTTTTTTTGTTATGTATTTCATTATGGGATTGAGCTCCTATCCTATAAAACAACCAACATCTAGGATTCCATGGATTACATGCTTAAGTATCTTATATTCTCTGATAATTTGGCTCACCTATGCTTATCTCCATTACTACATAGTGACTTTATTTGGATTGAAGAAAATATTTTTATCCGCGATACACATGATTTGTATCATGACTACCATCCTTACTACGATTGTATCCGTGATTATGAGTTTCTATCATCAACAGGTATAAGATATCATATTTTTAGTATACATTTTCATTATTATAGTAATTAAATTACATATATATACATGTATGTACACCATATAAACAATAATTACACTTGATATTGACTTGTGCAGTCTTTAATATATGTATTCTCTGTAGATATATAATTCTCTGCAGAATTCTTACAAAGCAGTATTTTTTAAACTTTTTTAAATATTATATGCAAATGTACATAATTATTTTGCACATAATAGAAACATGATATATTTATAAATACATTATAAAATGTTGCCTTAATGTCTCAAATTATTTTAGAAACTTAGGATGTGCATAAAAAGACTTGCTGCTGTAAATGATACTTTGGAACAATTGGGCACTCCAAAGGCGTATCGAAAGATGCACATGTATTCGAAACAAGTAGTAATTGGATGGATTGTATACTATGTTATTTTAAACTTTTACGATTTACTAATATGCCTGTACAAAGATCAAAAGATCACTTGGATATTATTACGAATTTGTATACTAAGACATTGTTCTTATATTAATACATTCGTGGATTTCTTATTTATCTTTTTCTTATGGTCAGTATTTATATGTATTTATATATGGGGTTCATATAACCATATATATATAACCAAACATATCTATTTGTAACATATCTATTTGCGCTTGGACTTTTTAGACCTACATAAATTTTGTCTCTTTCTATTTCTCTTTCTCTTGCAAAATTTTGTTTCACTAATATAGAAGTTGTAATTATCATTAAAAAATAGCACTTTCCGGCATTTTTAACATAAACATAGAAAAATTCTTTTTAAATTAATGTATTATTTCGCGGCATTCACAATACATATATAATCTTTTTAGATATTATAAAATTAGATTATGATTATTAAAAAATTTGTCATTTAAATGCATATAGAGATTTTTATAAAAAATTAATGAGACTTTTACTATATGACGCAGGTATATTGGTACTAGATTCGACAAAGTAAACGAGCATATGCGATATCTATTGATGAACAAAAAGCATATACCGAATGGGAAAAAATCTGTAGTCGTCCTTCATCGATATGTTATCTGCACTGATGATTATAAACGAATATTGTGGACTTTATTGTAAAATAAAACATTCCATATTTTAGTTATAGATGATTCATCTCGTAATTCTATAATTTTATAATTTCTACGATATATAAATTCTATATTAAATTATAAAATATAAATTCTATGTTTAAAAATAATCAACAATAAATAAAAAAAGCTAATTAATATAATTACATTAATAAAATAAATATTTATCTTAAAATGATAAAATAAATAAAAGTTTCCATTTTTGTGCTTTAGCTTAATAATATTTTGTGAAAAATAAATTGCAGTAATGTATTATTAATTTATATATTTACCCCGTTCCACAAACATTGTAAGAAAAATCATATACGTGTATTTTTGATATTTTTTGTTTTTCTTCTTTTCTCTTTCTCTTTATTGCAAAAAATTAATTTGTACCTCTTACTTAACTACTGTAAATAAACTGACTATAAATAATCTACGATTAAGAAAGAAGCTTAAAGAAAGCACAACAAAGCTGTACTTCTTACTCAAGTACCTTCTTATGACAGTAACTGAAGAGTTACTTCCGTTACTTGTAGCAAGTAACTAAAAATTATTGCCATACAATTATTTATAATATTTTTCAAAAATTATGTGTATCATAATGATTTTTATATTTTAATAGAAAGTTATAAGTTAAGTTAGCTATCTATGTTAACCATAAAAAATAAGCTATATTAAATGTCAATATATTTTATATATAAATTCTATATATAATGTCAATCTTTATATGTTTAAATATTTTCTTCCATCTTTACCCGTTTTCTTTTGCATATAATCATAATAGATAAATTACACGTCAAATAGAGTTAATCTATGAAAGCTGTATCACTATGATGCCGATCTTATTACATGCGTAAAATATCATAATACATAATAAAAAGTTACGATATATAAAAACATAGTGATATAATCAGCATTGAATGTGTTTCATATAGAAAAAAATATGCAAAAAATGATTTTGCAGCATTATTTTTATGATGTGCAGTATGGAAGAATTATTGATGAATCATTTCCATCACTCATTAAAGTAAACCCATATAGCATTGCGATAATGTTGCTGCAATGTTCTATGTTGTATGGAAATCGATCATTTTAATATAAGTAAGTGCTACAAAGAGAACGTACCAATATGCATACATATATCGCAAAAATCCATTATCGCGTTGCAAATTGATATAATCGCGATATATCCAACAAATGAGTTTGGACAGACAGTCAGTGTTACGTTAATCAAGCAGCAGTGATCACCATGACGGCCACTATTCAACAGACCTTACGTCCTTTTTTCGTTACGTGCTTTATTATAGGTTTAGGAATCTATCCTATAAAACAATCAAATTCAAGAACTTGGTGGATTGTTTTCTTGAGTATTTTATATTCATTAATAGTTTGGTTTATTTATGCTTATCTTTTCTACTATATAATCACTCTTTTTACATGGAAAGTATTATTTCGATCTGACATCGTTGCATTTACTGTAGAGATTAATATCTTTATCACTGTTATATCTGTGATTATGACTTTCTATCATCAAAAGGTACAATAATATATTTTTAGAATTTATATTTAAATTATACACGTATATCTAATATTAATTATATTTTATAACATTAAACATATAGTTTTGTATATATTGCGCGCACGCGCTATTTTGTAAAAAATATTAAAATTCTTCTCAAACAATATTTCTTAAATTTTTTTAATGGTTGCACATAATTATACTTTATATCATAAAAAAAAGAAAAAGAAAGAGAATGAAAAAAATGAGTGTGTCACAAATCATGTTAAATTATTGTCTGCTTATGATATTTTTTAGAGATTTGAAATATGCCTGAAAAGGTTTGCTATTGTGGATGATACTTTGGAAGAATTGGGCACTCCAAAAATGTATCGAAAGATGTATACGCGATCGAAACAAGTCATAATTGGATGGATTGTATATAGTCTTAGTACAAACTTTTACGATACGCTATGGTGGTTTAGTTTAAAACAAGATATTTGGGGATTCCTTGCAGCTCATATAATAAATTATTGTGGCCACATAAACGCGTTTGTAAATTTATTCTTTATTTTTATTTTATGGTTTGTAATATTATTTAGTTTGTAATAATATTTAGTATATATATTTTGCCCTTTTACAATCTTGATACTAAGATAAATTAAAGATAAATTGTACGTATCACAAAAAAGTATTTTGTAATATTTTTGGCAATAACGTATTATATATAATTTGCGCAAAATGTTGTAATACAGGTATATCGGTAACAGATTTGACAAAATAAACGAGCATATGCAATGTCTGGTGGTGAAAGAGGAGTACAAATTTAAACGTACATGGAAGAAACCTGTTGCCGGTCTACATCGATATACTTTATGTACTCACGATTACAAAACAACGTTTTGGGTCTTAATGTAAATTGGTATACGCATATGTTCGAAAAGATTATTAGTCTCGAGATGGTCATTTAATAATAAAATTTGATAGAAATTTGTATTTCCGAAAATAATTAATTAAGAGAATCACTTTTATATGAACTCTCGCAATGCATAATAGTTTATAGAAATAAAATATGGCTTTCTAGTAATAAAATATATATATCTGTCGATAGGCATCTTCATTTAGAATTATGTCGCATCGCTCGTGAATGGAATTCGATGTTTGGAATGCAAATAACTTTAGAAATGACATCCTACTTTGCAAGCATATCAACAATGTGTTACGGCTTATTCGTGATGCAAGTGCAGGAACATCGAGAACAAATACCAACATACACGTGGATTAATGTTATATACTGGACTTCCACATTAATAGTGAGACTCTACATCATAAATCACATTTATGAGAGTATTAAAGTTAAGGTAAAACAACGCACACACATACAGTCCTTGTTAAAAATACATATTCTCAATTTTTATTTAAAACATATTAGTAGTAAATCCCGAATTTTTCAGTTTAAGAAAATCGACAAGATAATTCATCAACTAACAAATATTCTTCAATATGCTGACATTTGGAAGGAGGTAAAAAATATTCTAATTGCGTACAAAATAAGAGAAATAAAACAAATTTATTAATATTTATAAAATAACGGTTATCGGTTTATACAGATTTATCAATTTTCATTGCAAACAATGTATCATCCGTTGGAGTTTACTGCAATGAATCTTTTCCATTTTGGCAATGACTTTCTTCGAAAGGTTTATCTTTGTTATTTTCTTATTTTATCGTTCTTATTCCATATTTCAAATATATAAATTATAAGAATTCAAAGAAAATTAATTTCAAAATTATCTTTATCATCAAATTGTTATTACTATCTTTCTATACTACATATAGTTTCTTTTTTGGCTTTCCTTTACATTCCGATAAATTGCTTTTATTTATTCGACAAAAGTTAATTGATATGATTTTTTTTCTAGTTTTGCATGACGGTTCTAACTTACGTCATTATCATGGTGCAAATGTCTGTAGCAATGGAATAATAATAATTCTTAAAAAAGAGAGCAAGAAAACTAACATATTAAGTTCAACAATATATTAAGATTTTGTATATGTGATTATACCAATTAAATATTATTCAAAAAGCTTGCAGAATAGTGGTTACATAGTAATATGAGATTATAATGCAATTTTATAATACAAACATATTTTATATCCTCGATAAATTAATTATATAAATATTTCTGAACACAATTATGTATCCAATTTTTTTAACAAGATACATCAATATTTCTCAGCATTAAAAATTAAATTATATACCTACATATTTAATATTTATATTAATAATGAAATTTTAATTCGAAAATTGTCAATCCTTACAATTTAAACCATTTCACCTAAAGATTATTTTTGTACAAATTATGCAGAGTTCTTCAATATCTATATGAAGACATAATATAGCAAAACTTTTTAGTTATAATTATTTACCCTTTATAAAATAGCCATATGTATAGATAATTGTGCGCACTAACAGTCATTTAATTTAGATTATCCATCTGTTTATTCTTCTACGGTTCAATATTCATCGATCGAATGTTAATTCCACATATTTCGCAGTATAATTCTTGTAAAGTTTCCTGTAGGATGTGCGAAAAAAGAAAGTGAAAACAATTTTTAAATTTTCGCAAATATTATCACAAAGTATCTCGCGTATTCATATTTCGCATTACAAAATATAATTTAAATTTATGATTTCGAAAACCATGTCAATTCAGGCAGCGCTGTCACCACTATTGATCGTCGGATCATTCTCCGGCTTGGGTTTTTTCGAATATCCTCTTGGACGACCCAGGCCATATCTCACTTGTTTGTATTTTTTAATCGCATGGAGTTTTTATGTGTATCTCTTCTATTATTTAATTTACACTGGTTATGCTGCTATACACATATACATGTTATCCTTGATTAATATAATAGTAATATTTAGTGCGATTCTGTCAATATCTGTCAGCTTGTTTCGTTTTAAGGTAAGAATTATAAATTATATTGCTCAAATTTGTTATACTTAAACCTTTATATAATAGGATACTTTTTATTGAAAGCATAATCTCATTCTTTAAATGGATAGATAAATATCAATGTTAAGTAATGTTTTTAATAAATCAGTTTCAATAATTGTATTATCATCACAAATGAAATATTTAGAAAAGAAATACAATTTATAATTTATATTGTTTTTTACATTTTAAATTAACCAAATTATATTATTCTTTAAGAAATTGAAAACGTGTTTATATAAACTTTCTATCATGGATGATACGCTGGAAGTGCTCGGAACGTCAAAGGAATGCTGACGGTTATATAGATGGACAATTCGAATAACAATAGGATGGATTTTATTAACTTTTTTTATGAATATATGCGATTATTTATGGATGAACTATGAATATTTCAGCATCAGTGATATTTGTGTTCCGTTTGTAGCAAATCATATGTTCCACGTAAATGTCCTTAATGGTTTAATTTGGGGAGTTATCCTGAGGTGAGTATATATGTGCAGTTTCGTAAAGCTTTTTTATAAATAATATATATGTAACAAAAAAAAGATTTTTAAAAGACTAGATCTTTCAAATCTTTTCATATCATTATTCTCTTTATCTTTTAGATTTCTTTTAATACTTTGAAATTTTTCTTTTATATAATCTAAATTAATATTTTGTTAATTGTTAGTTTGATAAGTATAGTATATATAAAATTGCCAAAAAATTATAGAATAAAATTATTAGTCTGCATAAAAATAAATTATAATATATATGTATAATAAATAATAAACAGTTGACGAAAAAAGAGAAGAAAAGAGAAAAGAAAATGTTATATATATAAATAATATATTATATATATATATGTGTGTGTGTGTGTCCAGATTTTAGTTTTTAAAATTGTAGATAACAGATTCTTTTTTAACTTTAGTTTTTCATTAAATTTCAGATTTCATCAAATCAACGAGCACATTCGTGATCTGCTTAAAGATGACGCAATGTGTACTAGAAGACAAAATAAATTAATCTTAGGTAGTCAGCAAAGAACAGAAGAACAAAAAAAATATAGACAATACGGGTGGATTTTAATGTAATTGCAAAGTACACATTAACTTTATATTTTTATTAAAACTTCAAATTAAAACTTTGATATCTTATAATTAAAAAAATAATTGCGCTTTTACATCAAAAATATTTTTTGCCAAGCTTGAACGTATTTGTAGTTTAATTTGATTATAACAATTACAATTTGATTACAGGCACGTTCATCTGGAATTATGCTTCATATCACGCGAGTTGAACGAAATATTCAGTATACCAATGACAATGCAAATGGCATTTTATTTCGCGTTCTTTGTGGAATTGTGTTGCGAGTTTTACACGACACATATAGATAAAAATAAAGATACATTTGAACATTTCCTAAATAACTTTTTCATTTATGTCTGGGTCGTTGTATACACTGCGAAACTTCTCGCATTAAATCATATCTGTCAAATAATTTGCGATAAGGTATAACAGAATAGAGTTATTAATCATTAATCATTAATTATTAATCATTAAAAATACTTTAATCAACAACAACAATAATAAATTTTACAAATTTTACAGCATTGAATAATTTTCATTAATTTATTTGATTTTATTTTTTTATCTAAACTTTCATTAATTTACTTGATTTTATTTTTTTATCTAAAACTTTCGATGTAATTTGTAGACTACAATTTTATATGATTTCAGACAAATGAGACAGTAGCAATTCTTTATAAATTGTCCAACAACAATTCGGATAAAGACTTACGGGAGCAGGTAAATTGTTGCTGCATAATTTCATAGAACATCCTGTATGCATGGTATCTCATATTTATATCCGATTATTTATTTAAATTCAGATTCTACAATTTATACTACAAATAAAACGAAGGGAAGTAAAATTTTATGGTATGGGACTTTTCTATTTTGGTTATGATTTCATTCGTAAGGTATGTTGGATATTTTGCAAAAATATAAAATAATATATGTCGACTTTTATAAAAGTTAAAATATTGTGTTGAATCCTTTTTAGATGACAAAAATACTTAAATAATGTTAAAAAAATATGTATTTTGATTTTTGTATGTCTATAATAAGCGCAATATACGTTTTTCATCATTATATTTTATATCTCAGATCTTCTTTTCAATTTATATAAACTGAAACAATCTTATTTCTGTCATGTAAAAGAAAAACATATTTTTCAGTTCTATGTAACAATTGCGACTGTGTTGGTGATTGTAATACAAATGCATATAATTGCTGGAGATTTATTGCCGTATGATGATGTAATTGATAAAAATTAATTAAGAAAAATTATGCAAATATATGTAAGAATAAACTGTGAAAACATTTTCTGATATCGTATTTATGCGCGCCTTTTTAAGAAAATATATGTATTTTATTATATATGTGATAAATTTCTATATAAAAATTTCTTCTTTACTTCCGCTCATATTAATAAATCAATCATTTTAATATAAGTAAGTGCTGTAAAAAATGTATACTAAAATTATCTATAATAGGGAATCCACACTGTCATTGTTTATCGATGCAATCGCGCGATGCGCCCTGCGAGTAGGTTTGAATAGAGAGTCAGTGACAGTATGTTCGTGACAGTAGAAATGATTATGACCATCCAACAAGTCTTGCGTCCTTTTTTTGTCATATGCTTCGTTATGGGTGTAGGTTTCTATCCTACGAAACAAGAAAAGCCAAGGATTCGATGGAGCACATATTTAAGTATTTTATATTTTTTTATAATCTGGTTTATTTATGCTTACATTTTTTATTATACGATAACTCTTTTCACATGGAAATTTTTATTTGGATCCGACATCGGTATAGTCCTTATAAATATTGACATCTTTATTACGGCCATATCCGTATTTAGGAATTTCTACTATCAAAAGGTACAATTATATTTCCTTTATTTTTATAGAGTGCATATATATCTTTTTCATATATATTAAAGTTATATTTAATAACATTAAAAACCTCAATATAGCAATTTTGCAAACAATTAACATTCTTTTCTGACCAATTTCTTCTAAATTTCTTAAAAAATTATAAGCGTAATTATATTTTACATCATAAAAATATAATTGTATCATATACACATTTTAAAATATTGCCCAACTTTTTTTAGATATTTGAAATAATAATGAAAAGGCTTAATGCTGTGGACGATACTTTGGAAGAGCTCGGCACTCCAAAAATGTATCAAGATGTGCATATGTGGTCAAAACGAATAATAATTGGATGGATTATATATAGCATTACGACTCTTCAAGGATTTCTTCTAGCTAGCATAGTAAATCATTGTCTTTACATCAATGCATTCATGGATGTATTATTTATTTTCTTATTATGGTTCGTATATTATTTATATTTCCTAAATGGTCTCGTTAAATAAAGAAATTTATTTATATATTTAATAAAAAACTTCTCATCTTCAAATATATAAAACGGATGTTTTTTATATATATTCTACAATGTCTAAGATATTTTCCTTATAATGCAGGTATATTGGCAACAGATTTGACAAAGTAAACGAGCACATGCAATATCTATTAGTGAAAGAGAAGCATGGGCTCAGGTGTACATGGAAAAAACCTGTAGCTGTCCTTCATCAATATAATTACAAGCGAACGTTATGGACTTCAATGTAAATCGATACACGCACATTCGGATAAATTATCGATTGGGTTCTAACCTGATAATAAAATTTGATTGAGCATTATGCCTAGAAATAATCAACAATGAATTGCAAAAATTATTTTTTACAAATTTCACAAAATATACATGAAAACAATTTTAACATTTTTATAGTAACAAAATATTTTTGTTTTTTTGTAGGCATCTTCATTTAGAATTATGTCGCATTGCTCGGCAATTAAACTTGATGTTTGGAACACAAATGACTCTCGAAATGGCGTCTTATTTTATGTACTTAACAGGTTTTTGTTATAGTATGAGCATAATGCTATTGCAAGAATATCGATATAAAGTATCAGTAAACATTTGGCTTAATGTTAGTTGCTGGGTTTTCACATTGTCATTAAGGCTCTATGTTGTAAATTACATATCTGAGAGTGTCAAAATGAAGGTAAAATCAACGTAATTTTTTATAAAAAGATATATATTTATACTAAATTATTTTCTTAAATATATCTTTGATAGTATTAAATAACAAATTTTAGGCTAACAAAATTGAACAAATAATTCATCAACTAACAAATATTCTTCAATATGCTGATATATGGAAAGAGGTAAAAATATTTTAATAACAAGAGAAAAATATTAATGCGACAAACTAATTACACAATTGAAAAACTATTATTTAACTACAGATTTATCAGTTTACTTTGCAAGCAATACATCATCCATTGAAGTTCACAGGAATGGGTCTCTTTGACTTTGGAAATAATTTTCTTCGAAAGGTTTATTTATCTTTTTCCACTGGTTTATTTTTCTACTGTGTTTTAAATTATAAAGTCATAAAAAACTCAGGAACTTTCTTTTAAAACTGCTTGTAATTATCAAAATTGTTATTAGCATTTTCTGTCACAACATACATCATGTAATAGTTTCTATTCTTTTATTTTTTATTTTTCTTATTTTAATAAATTAATAAAAATTAAATAAATTTTTATTTATAGAATTATTTTCTTATTCAATAAAAATTAATTGATATGTTTTCTTTCAGTTTTGCATAACGATTGTAACGTACGTCATTATTACGATCCAAATGACAATTCCTATTCAATAAAAAAGAAAAGGAAGTACCAATTACTACTTTTCAAAAGCTTAACGTCATAATGACGCAATGAGAATATTTTATATAATTAAATAAATAAATAATAATATCAATTAAATGTCTTAAAATGTTATAAAATGTTAGTTAAATAAATATGCAAAAAAGTTGTAATAATTCTATTATATGTTATAATATTTCCTTTATATATAAAAACTATAAAATCGATTAATGTATTTAGATATTTTTATATACACGATCTTATTTAAAAAATCTATAAAAATTTTAGACAATTTGTTATATATTAAAAACTCTATAACATAAAGTATATCGGGAAGATAAATAAAATAATTTCAATTGCCTCACGAAGAACAAAAATCAAGAAATGCAAGCCAAATATTAGCAATAAATGCAAGCAATAAATTATAACCTAATTTTGTACAATTACTACAACAAAATTTGTATGTATATTATATAGTTATTTAAAAAATTTATTTGCAAGTATAAACAAATTTAATATTTTAATTAAATTTTAATT